AGGAAAGCCATTTCTTCACAAGGTACGCTTTCTCCGTGTAAATCCGGTATCGGTATTTGAAACGCCGATCAAGAAAACGTCTTTTCTTACTTCACATCGTATTTCATGCTTTAATAACCAAAGTCAAATCCACTGATTAGTACAAATCGCGATTCCGGACTTAAAATGACTTGTTATTCAATGATCGGAAGTAAGGACATTGATACAGAATTTACAGCAGTAATTAACTCCATGAAAGCCTCATCCATAAATTACAGAGATCATGAAACAGCCTGGCAATCGACAAGAACATACAGCAGCGAAAACTGGGGTATGTCAACCTGTGAGAACATATCGTCACTGTCTGAAGGAAACACAACTGCATGGCTGTAGTCTTCGAGTGAGACCAAAAAAGTGATAAGACGCTGCTGGAAAATCGACAAAATAACAACAAAAATTCATTTAAACTAATTAAACAAATTTATTAGTTATTAATTAAACTCATTTATAAACCGCGCATTACGCAGGCTTTTACTTTTACAGTCGAAACAGCGGATATCAGCTGACTGAATCGCGTCTAATTATCAGCCGGAGAGAAGAATACATGAACAGTAAGAACAAATCGGTAGGTGCATAACTTCGTTATTAATAATCATTAAGATAGAAATAAGAGCAGAAAACAACAAATAAAACTTTTAAAAGATTAATTTACTCTTCTTCACCTTAAAGACTAGCCACCAACCATACTGAAACTACAGAGCGCTCAGATCTATACATTTACAGAAAAGTATTTCGCGCCAAAAGTTAGTACTGCTGAAGATTTTGAATACTTACATTTTGTTGGAGTACACTGAAAATCAACCAAATTAAGCGCTATTAGATATTTTTGTTTCTATCACATAACCAGCACAAGCAGTGGCGCAAGTACTTAGTGGCTTTTAAATGGCACTAAGCGTCTAAAGTAAGAGTAAGCGATAAACATTAGTACAAATTATAAACATCAATTTTAAATAAGTTATTTCCAGTGTGGTTGCAAGCGCAACAAGCAAAATTGTTTTTCGATTTAGATCAGCTTTTTGAACCATTTACATAAAGAAAACTTCCTTGGTTTCTGATGTTCGAACAATTCGCAGCTACACGAACGGTAGAACATGCTACAAGCAAAACTGGAGCACTAAGAAAATTCTAACCAAGCCGAAAACCTTAACATTACCATTTTCATCTTCATTTTAAGTCAACAAAACCAGAATATGATAGCAATTAAAATTTATGATGTCTACACGTCTAAAAGAGCGTATTACGATCATGTCAAGGAACTTTCGTTTCAGCACAAGAAATCACTGGCATACCTTAAAGGAAGTGAATTTCATCCCAATCGACTGAGTATGTAAAGAAATTAACTCTACCACATTTGAGAAGAACATCGAATAGAAAAACACATTATTGCAAAGATAAATGTAGCACTGCTTTATGAAACAGTCGCCAAAGAATTGGCAAAAATATCAAAACAGCATAAGAACGAGACACAATAAATAAACTGTACCAAAAGGATATCACTTACAGTCAGAATATACTAAGGCGCAGAAAATGCGAATTACTCAGTAAATCAGTGAGATTTACTCATATAGGACAAGAATTTAACATCTAGAGAAGGCAATTTGATTAACCGCATGGTTTTGTACTGTAGTTTCTAGATTTTACCTGAAAATTTGATTTTCTGATAAATAAATGCGTTAATTACTCTGCTGTACGTGCAGTCAACAAATTTATTCCATAGCAACGACATGCAACAGGGATCAAACTATCTGCTGTTTATTACACTTGATAAACTACCATCAGATGAATTAAAATGAATTTAAAATTTAACTTGTCATACATCATGAATCCCCAAATTTTACGGAAACCGGGTTGACGACAAATTATGGCTATGATAGTCTTTGCTTACTCATCTGCAGCACTACCCATGGTTGCGACAGCTTTTTTTGTTTAGTATCCTCGATGCATATAATACCCGGTAAATATTCAACTGAAAATAAAGGGTCAACCTTAGAAAATGTTAGGAATATTTATCTAGGAAGACTAATTCTATCAAGAACACAAATTGTTCATTGCTACTGACGGACAGAAGAAGCAACAGCAGTTCATCAGCGTTTATACTGCTATCGCATTTAAATTTATAATAATTAAATGAGAACTAAACCGAATGGAAAAGCCATAAATTTTTGCGTAATCAATGCTATGTTGACGATGCTAATGATAACTAGCACATCGATGCATCATTCTGTTGTTGAAGTACTATTCCTTTCGTTAGCATTGATGCTTCAGCGGCCGATCAGCTTAGGAAAATTTCATACACGGTTTGCGCCTTTCCTCGCTGAAGGACGAAGCGAGGTCAAAGATCTGGCTGACAAGCGCGTACTAAGAAGATACCACGGGCAGCAATAAAGATTTTGTTTATGATTTATTGCAACTGCAACACCATCTTCAAGGATTTAAAACAACGGTTTCTCTTGCTAAACCCACCAATATAATCTGCTCCATTATGCTCTAATGAGAGAGATCATCATGACTGCTTTTGTCCAAGCAGAACAATGACCCAGAAGGCACGTTGTGGCATGGATATGACATAGAAACATCAATCATGCGCGACAGTTTCGTCAGCAGGGTTTCTTTTATCGATAAAAAATTTGCACTGACCTATTTTGAAATGTTATCTACAATAGCAAATGAGATATTGCTACATTGTGCCACGAGTTATCTGCATCTTACTGGTTATATAAATGGTAATTATCTGTGGTGCATAGGTCTATCAGGCCGTCGTTTTAAATAGTCGTTTGTTTATACGCTGTGAATGGATCAACAAGAGCGAAGACTTATGAACCAGAAAATGAGCATCTGATAACCCTTCCAGTCACGAATTATCCTCGATCTTCGATTTTCCGATTATCAAGGCGGCAACAGAATTTTGCTCATATAAATGCTTCTGCAATTCTTAAGTGAGCGGAGTGCTATCTTTGAACAGGTCCGCTACAACACATTTTTTTGCCTTCTGTAGATATATTTCGTTGTGCATATTTGTTTCTTTCTATCGATGCGCCAGATAAAGTTCCATGGTATTTTTCACATTGGTGTGAGCCTTTCGAATTTTGATTCAATATGCCGCAGCAAAGGTGATGAGTAAATCGGTAATAGAAGATGTCGAGATGAGAAGAGGTCTGTTTCTGGACGGCCCTGTTTTGTTGGCACCTTCTGAAACTGATTTACAGAGCTCTCTGGAGATGTTCGCAGCTGAGGGCGACGTGACTGGCATGTGGACGTATCTGAAACAAGATGCTTGTGCTTTCTCGTTTTCCTATACGTTGTTCTGTTCAAGCCAACAGAGCAGCAGTGGAGCAGAAGGAAAAGTTCAACCCTCGCTGGGTCGGTGTTAGTGGTGATGGTTGAGGCATGTGTTGCGAATGCCTCCAGACAGCAAAACGAAGCAATTATTTTTTGCCCAGCCGACCGTCAGAAGGTCGAAGGAATGGTTAAGGTTTACCTGGTACAGATACATGGATAAAGCCTCCAAAAACTCCGGTTGTCTGTGCTGAAGCTCAGACCTTAGCACAATATTGCAAGCACTATCTGACGCGTTTGCTTCAGCGACCCGAAGGGAGAAGCGGTTATGGAAGCTGAAGATGAAAACGCGTCTGCTATTTATAAATGACGACCTCGTTTTGCTGAATCCTTCTTGAAGACATATTTTTAGCGCTCTCTGGAAAAGTCAGCCAAATTCCAGGTGGTTGTCATGTTCGAAACGAAAAGCCTCGTGCTTTCTCGTTTCCGTGCCTGTTGGACTCAGCAGGCAATTGAAGAAGCAGTAGAATAGGTGAACAAGTTCACGCACGGCGAGTCGTTTTTACTAATGATGGACAATGGGCGGCAGAGATGGTCCTGTGAATTGGAACGACCTTCAGAATTACGCGTGAACTAACCCGAATCTTAGTTGTTGAAGCAGAATTGAGTCTGAAGATCAACTTCTTTGTGTTCAAGTTAATCTTCATCCCGATGCCCAGCTACAGCAATGAATTGTGAGTGACGACTGAAAAACTGGTGCTGAATAAAGGCTTTCTGAGACGAATCTCTGGGCTCACATACCTCGACATGGACCGAAGTACTGACGTCCGAGAGTGTGTTTTTATGCAGCCACTGCTTGAGAAGTCACAGCAACGGCTCTTTGCGCGCATCTTCCAAATATTTTCAGAAAGGAAGGCAGCTAATAACTGCCCAGCCAATCAGCTGAAGGTCCCCCTAAACGGCGAAAAAACCTAGGACGAATGTATGGAAAGATTGAAATCCGGACTGGCGCTATTTTGCGCCAGAGTTGAAATGCTGGCAAAAGACTTAGAAAGTTGAAGACACTACCTTACAGGACTGGCTTAGTGATCAGAGATGATAAGCGGTTATTTAAACTGAGGAGGATATCATTGACGTGTTTCAAACTTTTGTGAAATATTTTATATCTATCTTTGGAGCAATGACATATTTAGAAGAAATCTTTGAGAATTTATTAATTACAGCTTATTAACAATTTGGGGAATACAGACATTGTTCGCAACGGCCATATAGATTACATCTTTTGCTGATTTTTACACTGACTACCAGGTGCTATTTCGCTAGAAATCAACACTTGGTGCCCGTCGCTTAGGCTGTTGCACCGATGTAGCGTGGAACAAATTCCTTGCTCAAGAGTTTTGTTACTAGATGTAGTCATCACCGAAGATGAAATAGCATAGTGGCACAACAAATTCAACTAAATATCAGCAGTACCACGCACTCTCAACGAGAGAATACTGCCAATCTTGTTGCTGCACTTCGCCTTGACACACCTGATAACCGATTATCTAGTGTAATCAATGCAATATCTAACTTCGATTTCGATGTTCTTACCAAGTTAACGTTTCATACTGTGCATTGTATTAAAATGTCCGTGTGATTCACAGGTACACGTATGATAGTCGGATATTTATTAGTTGCACAAAATGAAGATCGACGAGATCCGTTCGTCGGTTAAAAGTCCTCGTATTGACTCACACAGTCATGTAAAGAGCCTCGGTCTCGATGATAAGGGAAATGCTAGGCCAGTTGCTGGCGGTTTCGTCGGCCAAGCGGAAGCGAGGGAGGCAGCCGGAATCGTTGTGGACCTCGTGAGAGCAAAACGAATGGCAGGTCGAGCAGTTCTTTTAGCGGGGCCGCCAGGAACAGGCAAGGTAAAGACATAATCTGTGTTTTTAATACTGTAAGCAGATATCCGCTTTAGACAGCTATTGCTTTGGCAATGGCAAGGGATCTTGGTAGCAAGGTTCCGTTTTGTCCTATGGTCGGTTCGGAGGTGTATTCCGCGGAAGTTAAGAAAACCGAGGTACTCATGGAAAACTTTCGTCGATCTATAGGTTAGAAATTTATTTTGATCGCTTGATTTTAATTTTGATGATGCATTCGCAAATAGTTCTTCTAATGTTCTTACCACACAGCTTGAGTAGTTTGTTGGTTTGAGTGTCGTAGATTTGTTTTTGGATCGATTTTAATGCACGTTGCGTGTCGTTTTGTTTTTCCTGATGTTTGTGTTGATGCTTTAATATTTAATTTGCTCAGAAGTTTGATTTTCTTCTGAAAATGTAGAAGTTTCTGTACC